CCAAGTGCTACCTGTGGTACCTCGAGCTTCAAGAGCTGAAATTGTTGCTGCTTGCATTAAGCAAAGCAAGCTATGGCCATTGTTTGTGATCTTGCGCCTTACTCAGAATATGCGAGCAGGTATTGATGCACAGAGCTTCTCTCAATGGTTACTTAAAGTTGGTGATGGTGATCTACCTACAGACCAACAGGGCCTCATTTCTCTTCCAGAAAGCTGTATCTTTCATGGGGTTGACCTGGTGCAGGAAATATTTGGTTCTTCCTATGGTGATATTACCGCCCTTAGCCAGTCTGTGATTTTAACGCCAAAAAACACAGATTCGTTAGAGATTAATGAAAAAGTTTTGGATCGCTTACCAAACAGGAGTCAGTGTTTTCTCAGTGTTGACAGTGTCGAGTGTGAGAATGTGGAGGAACAAAATAACTACCCTACTGAATTCCTTAATAGCCTTACTCCCACAGGAATGCCTCCACACCGGTTAAACCTTAAGATTGGTGCTATTGTTATGCTCCTTAGAAATTTGAATCCTAAGCAGGGTCTCTGCAATGGCACACGTATGGTTATCCAGCGCATGCGCTCTCATGTCCTAGAAGCACAAATACTGACAGGGACCAAAGTTGGACAAACTGTATTGGTGCCAAAAATATCTTTGGCTCCTTCAGATACCAACCTTCCCTTCATTCTGAAGAGGCGTCAGTTTCCACTAAGGTTGGCTTTTGCCATGACTATTAATAAGGCTCAAGGCCAAACCTTTGCTAGAGTGGGTCTCTTGCTACATGAGCCCGTGTTTACTCATGGACAGCTCTATGTGGCTTTTTCACGTGTGCGAACTTTGAATAGCATACGGGTAAAGTTGAACCCACGTATTTATAAAACTAGAAATATAGTTTTTAATGAGGTCCTTTAAATGAATTTTTCCTTTTTATGTTGTCTTATCTGCTATATAGTTGTGTTGTATTCAATTTTATTTTCAGATTTGTTTTCTTTTAATTTTTTTTTTCATTTCAAATAAATGAATGTATGCCTTTTATGTTGTCTAATTTGGTTTATTGTTGTGTTGTATTTAATTTTCTTTTAAGATTTGTTTTCTTTTACTTTTTGTTTCATTTCCAAAAAATTTGTTTAAAGTTTCACCAATGCCTATAAACAAAAGGTAATAAGACCAAATCCAAATAAATAAATAGTGTGTGACGTTTCGGTAACAGCGTTGTTACCATCTTCAGACAAAAGTACTATGGCCTACGGCCATACCACGTTGAAAAGACCGGTTCTCGTCCGATCACCGAAGTTAAGCAACGTCGGGCTCGGTCAGTACTTGGGAGGGTGACCACCTGGGAACACCGGGTGCTTTAGGCTCCTTTTTTCCATTCAGTACTTTTGTCTGAAGATGGTAACAACGCTGTTACCGAAACGTCACACACTATTTATATATTTGGATTTGGTCTTATTACCTTTTGTTTATAATCTACAATCCAAATTGTGCCTCATCAACCAATGCCTATAGTTTCTCACACCTCCCATGCTTACCCCTCTGTAACTGGCCTGTGGTGCAGTGGACATTGTTGGGAGGTACAGTAAACTCTCTACACGATTGTATCAAGTCTTGTTCTGGTAGACTTGATGCTGTAACCAGGAGGGACACTCCCTCTTTAAAAATCCTGAGTTCAACTGACCCAGTTGATGGACCTCAGCAATGGTTCCACTCCAGGGATACGGAGGAGCTGCGTCTGTGCTCATGTTAGAGTCAGAAACAAAGGCTTCCATATTTGGAATGGCCTCAAATCACAGGCTCTATACCCCATACCCCTATACAGGCACTATACCCCATTCCATGAGATCATGGAATTCATGTAATCTTTACACAAGGGGATAAGAAACATCAACAACATAGTTTCTCACCTGAAAGGATTTTTTTGTATTAGTTGTTCACTAATAAAATATTTATAATTAAGTATTTTGATTTTTGGTCTTTATTTACCTATTTTCCCCAGTGCTCTATACATTGATTCAGGATCTATGCAATGTCTCACATATGGTTATCTAGCGCTTCACATGTTTTTAGGCTAAACCCGGGGCGTTGCCGGGTCACTCGGCTAGAAATAATGGCTGTATTTGCTATATAGTTGTGTTGTATTGAATTTTCTTTTAATATTTGTTTTCTTTTTTTTTTTTCAATATAATTTTTTAAAGTTTTCACCAATGCCTATAGTTTCTCACCTGAAAGCAATTTTTTTGTATTATTTGTTCATTCATAAAATATTTATTATTATTTTGACTTTTGGTCGGTGGAAGGCTGGGTAAACCGTTTGGTTTTCGACCACTAGGACCCGGGTTCGATTCCCGCATTGGGCACTTTTTTCTGTTTAAAAAAAAAAAAATGCTCCAATGGCCCCCGATTCTTGCAAAAGTCCAACCCCACCAGCGAGTGCAAGTAACCGAACGGGGCTCTGGCATTTGTAAGTGCAAAGTCAAACTGCTTTTCACATGTGTAGACATGTGGTGCGCTTACAGTAAAAGCAGTCGCTAACTACCCACCATGATTATCATGGCCTGTACCACGTGTACTAGGGATAAGCAAAAAAAAAAAAAAAAAACCTATTTTCCCCAGTGCTCTATACATTGATTTAGGATCTTTGCAATGGCACACATATGGTTATCCTGCCCATTCACAGGCCTTTAGGGTAAACCTGGGGCTTTGCCCAGGTCACTCGGCTAGAAATGCAGTTTTTAGTGAGGTCCATTAAATGAATTTATCCCTTTTATGTTATCTTATTTTCTATATTGAAAAGTTAATAAATATGAAAAAAAAAATTAAAAATGTTTAAGAATATTATTAAAAAAGAATCATAAAGATATTTTAAAGGAGTCCTTTAGGGATGTCTGTTTTTGCACTTATGATTCCAGAGTTACATGGTCCAGTGGGCCGTATGAAAATCGAGTTGTTCATATAATAACATGTTTAAAAAATGATATTTTCTTTTAATGTAATCTATATAGCTTGAAATAAATAAAAATAATGGCTGCTTGAACTCGGTCGCATGTGACATTTTACAGGTACATTGGGACAGCTGACATTCCCCCCCCACCCAACCCACTGATAAATAGGCAAGAAGGTATGGGAAAAGATCCCAGTAGACGCGAATTCGCGTTGGTAGCCTACAATTTTATGTTAATTTTTAGAAATCAGGGACATGAATTCGCATCCTTTAGGCTTGACACCCTATAAGTGAGGATATGAATTTGCATTATATGGGTTCAAAATGTTTCGTTGCTCGCATCTATAATACCTTTTTTTTAGTAAAGTTGTAAGTAAACATCAATCGTCGAAATTTGCATTTTAAAATGGTTGAATTATCAGAAGTGGTGAATAATTAATATTGTCGAATTACCGTTTGTTATTTGATAGGCCAGAGATTGGGAAATCAAATCAAGGTCGAATTATCGCAAGGGGTCGAATTATCGGTATTGTCGAATTACTGTTTGTAATTTCATAGGTTCTGGAAATCAAAACATGGTCGAATTAACGAATTTATACTTAGAAAGTATTTTTACTTATCCTTACTTGAAATGCTGCTTCTAGGAAATCTGAATATACCCATTGCGATTTTTAAGCCACCATCTATACTTTTAAAGTCTCTGCAGGCCCTTTGGGTAAACCCTGGGCGTTGCCCGGGTCACTCGGCTAGTATATAATACTACTTTTAAATTTATATTAAAAATAGACACTTCGGTCAGTTGGAGTTTTTTATTTTCTCAACGTTTCGACAAAAATCTTTTGTCTTCGTCAGGAGAAGTAAATAAAACATTTGGCAAGGCGTTAAAATTGTACTCAAATTTTAACGCCTTGCCAAATGTTTTATTTACTTCTTCTGGCGAAGACAAAAGATTTTTGTTGAAACGTTGAGAAAATAAAAGAACTCTAACTGGCCAAAGTGTCTATTTTTCATATAAATATGAATGCCGGCCAGGCAGCCTCTATCTTTACGATACTTTTAAATCATTATTCAGTAATAGCTTGCTATATATTGTATGCAATATAGTAATAGCTTGCTATACTGCTATACTTGCTATACTCGCAATATATTTACGTTTCACAATATCAATTTATTACATGATAAATATAGAGAAACTATTATATATGTTGAAATTGACAATTGCAGATATTTCTACGATATTTGATATGCAGATATTTGCATAGTTTTAGTATTGTCTATGCAAATTGACATCTCTGCCTATATAGCGCGGCCTTGTTGGATTGTTGTCTTGCCTTAGAATGCTTCACCTCATAGCATGTAGAAGGCGTAACAATTGTCACAATTGTTGGATTGTTGTTAGGCTAGAGGTTATTTGGATAGGTCAGGACGGCGTGAGCTGCTGATGTAAATATAATTTGATCTCTTTGTCCTTCTTTTATTGTTTTATACCTTTAAGTAATAAAGGATCTTTCTCTTCCCCGACGAATCTTTAATTTGTTCCGAACAATATATTTATATATTGTTAAAAAGGGGGACATATCGTGACCGCCCACAAGATCATTTTAGATTGTAGAGCGCCATCTAGTGAAACAAATATCAACAAAACGGCGATTTAAGGTTTGTTCCATAATATTTGACCAACCCAATTTCTTGATACATCAAGAAAAGCTAACCACCTACACGTTTTGGGCTGTTTGCCGTCGTCAACATGGTGTTGACTGTACCTCAACGTATTCCAGTCCCAGTTCAAAATAACTTTCTTAGGTATCGTTCGCCAATAGCAACCGCAACGACGAAAAATTGGGTCCAAGAGGCTTCCCGAGAAATAAAGAAATAGATAGTTCAGCCAAATTTGCATACTTAAGCTAAACACGTGTAAAAATGATTTAATAAGAAAAAGGTCAGGTGTTAATATTAAAAATAAAAAAGACATTTCCTGACCACTTACATACAATTTTAGATAGCAGAGCCATTTGTTGTGTGAAATGCTATTCAAATATTGGTTACACTTCTCTACCAAACCCCGCTAGCTCAGTCAGTAGAGCATGAGACTCTTAATCTCAGGGTCGTGGGTTCTCTTTCTGCCAAAACTATTGAATCAATCATTTCAGATGTATTAACCGAATATATTGTTCAATATGTAGTCTATTCAAAAACTATCTAGAACAAATTTCCATTAGGTAATTTTAATAAACGGCAAACCTAACTTTCTATAGTTCTGATATTTTACTGGTATTGTAATAAATAGTTTTGAGCTAAAATTAAATTGAACAATACCTGGGCGAATCCACAGTTCCAGGAGCCATATATAATTAAAGGATTTCTGTTCAAAACATCGTACCAGATCCATCTTGGCTAATAAAGAAAAGTCTGCAGAGATAACTGTTTCAATCCCGAAGAGGACACTCCCCAACATATACTAAATTGTATTGGAAAGGACAAAGGATCCCTGTACAGAGAACCAAGAAGAGTTCTTGAACTTCTTTATGAGCACGACTTCCAAGATCTTGTCTAATTTAGACTAATATATATATAAAAGGATAAGTAAAAAAAACTGTTTCAATAATTTATATTGGGAGTACAAATAGGTTTTGAGGAATTTGCAAAAGAAGCCACAACAAATATTATATAAATAGCATCGGACCTTGTAAGGTTTCATGTTAAGGCTTCATCATTTCTTAATAATATTCAGATATAGGAAAATTGTGATTTGTTATTATAAAATATCAAAAACCTTTCGCAAAATAAGTTTCTTTATTAACAACAGCGCGAGCTTTGTTTAATAAAGAAATTTATTGCGAAAGGTTTTTGATATTTTATAATTTATAATATGCCAAATTCTTTGATTGTCTATATATGTTTTTAAATTTGTGAAGCCTTTAGTGTTTTGAAATGGTTTATTACATGACGTTCGGGTCTCATATTACATTGTTGCCATATATTTGCATATTTCTGTTAACATTCTACAGCTTCATGATAAACAAGGGGATTTAAGTTCAAACCACAATCAAGATTTCCAGGTTACGAATCTTAAATACATTCACGTGTATGGAAACTAACTTTAAATTGGATCTAGTGGTTTCAAAACTGTTTTAAGCTGAGAATTTAAAAAAAAAATCTCTAAAATTCAAGTTTATATTATAAATTGACGGTTATATACTAAGACATTAGAATGATGATAAATAAATGTCAATTCTCCTGTTATAACCACAGCCAATCTGCAGACGATTCATCTGCCGCTAATTCTCTTTATTAAACCTGGGAAGCTTTCCGGGAAAAAAGCGCATTTTTTTCAGGTAAAAAATCGAGTCAGGATAAAAGGAGATAAAAATCTTGATGTTATCTCTAGTTTTTCCCCATCTCGCTGTTTGGCCCGGGAGAAGTACTTCCCTGAAAGCTCGCCATGTAAAGAAAGTTATTGGGGGATGTCGTCTCTGGATTCGCTGGGTTTGACTGCCAACCCAATTATTGAAAATCTAAAGAATCGGTATTTTTTATCTTAGAAATAATAATTTAATTTGTTTTCTACAGTAATAATATATTTTAGTGATTTATAATAATGATTATAATCATTCTAGGTGTGATCACCTCAACTTGACCAACGTTCCTTCCGTCTTGATTGCTCTTCCATAAAGAGGCCAGTGGTGGAACCAATTACACAGTCAACTAGTCAAAAGGATAAAATATTGAATTTAAGACCTTTCTGATTCTTTACCTTAGTCTTGAACAGAAAATCGACTATTGCATGGTCCTGGGTAGAGAGAATAGAAAGTAGTGTTAAATTGCATCTAAGTCGTCTCCATAAGAACCCTCTATTCAGCATACAACGTCAATTTCTATTTTTACCATAAAGTATACAAGACACCAAATTCCAGACTAGATTTAGAAACCCCATAGTTTAGCCGTCTAAATCCACCAAATTAAGACACAAATGGTATGAATCTCTTACAACTCAAGGAAAATTCAAAAGACGGTATAATTTGATACTATTAGACGACTGAATGCAAGACGTCTATGGTAATCCAGTACTTATAGGATCCACTTATTAGCATCAAGTAGACTGTGTAATTGGTTCCTCCACTGGCCTCCTTATGGAAGAGCAATCAGACGGAAGGAACGTTGGTCAAGTTGAGGTAATTACACCTACCCTTGGGGCGGCTTTATTCTCGACCTGATGGCGAGAAGATAGTCCGTAAAGGATATCTCTCTTATTTCATCTAACCAGGAAGAATTTTGTGATTTGTGTCCTGCTTGTTCTTTTGCTGGCATTGGAAATGTAAGAGGCGGCCATATCAATTTCCTATGTAACCGCTAAAACTGTCCACATCGAAGAAATGATTGAAATGTCAAGTAAATGATCATTTTGGAACATATAGTTAGTGTAAGAATGATTTCAGAAGAATAGGTTTGAAAAAATTGATACTGTACACCACATATCGACACAATATTTTAACGAAATAAAATTTGTCCAGGAATTTTTCCCACGATCCTTATTTTCAAAAGAAAAGACAAATTGTGTTGGTATTTTTTTTTATCTTTTCATCTAACTAACTTGCATACTAATTCTGTACATATTTAAAATATCTTTCTTTCTTTCAAAATTTTTGTTTATATTTAAAGTGCAAGTGTCCCTAGGGGGACATAGCGCTCTAAGTCGAAATGAAGAAACCCAAGGAGAGTTGCATGAATATCCTGAATGTATTGGCATTCTAATGAACTAGGGAGTATATGCTGACAATTTGGATAGAAGCTAAAGATAAATATAATGTTAAAATGATAGCAAAATATTCTCCTGACTTTTTATAAATGAAGATGACACAAAATTTTATCCATAATGAATATCATTATATCAGAGAAATCATCAGAGAAAATGGTATTTGGTACTAATATACTAAGCCTTTAAGAAAGGTATGCATCAACTTTCAATGAGTATTAGAGAACAATTCTTAATTATCGTCAAATAGAAAATTCTGAAGTTTTATTTGAAGCGGAAGGTTAATTGAAAAAGTTGAGTAAAACTAGGTTTTCAAAGTCCTAACAAAAGATAATCCTATTGATCCCAGATAAATATTTTGTAAAGATATTGGGTACGCACTCAAAATTTTGTGCGTTCGTGTATAGCTTCTATGAGCGACCATCTCCATGAACGATCGCTTATGTAAATGAGGAATGGCTTGAACCAATAAAGAGGCTGCCTCCACCACAACGAGAGAGACCAGGTCTGTAATGGGAGGTTCTCGGATCCATTCTATTCCCTTACTAATTTGATTTCACCTTTAGTCGTTTTTACTTATTCCAAGTACACTTGGTACAGGCCATGTCAACCATGCATTTTGTGTGCTCTATGTGCATCACATGGCTATGTATAAAGAGAGAAGTTTGACTTTCGCATTTACAAGGTGCCAAATCCCCGTTTGGTTACTTGCATACACTGGTGGGGTTGGACTATATGTAAGAAATGGGCCCATTGAAGTCGACAAAAACGCTTAATGTGAAAATCGATCCCGGGTTGTTGTTGTCGAAAATCAACGGCGGGTACTCTCCATCACTAACTTCCCCAGTTTTTAACCTTGTACGGAGAATCTGTATAAGACTAATGTCTTAATAAAGGCTTTGTGTGTGTGTGATTCAAATATTTTTGAAAAATATTTTTAAATATATCATTTTTAATGTTGATATTAATGAGGAATAATATAGAAGCGGGAAATTTATTACATATCGTATAAAGAAATTCTATGAAAGAAGGAACAGAACAGAGATAAGAGTTATTCTGGAGAAAGGATACTTCATTAGATCAAAGTCTATTCTACGAATGTTCACCCAGGTTTTATAGATGATTATATGGGGAAAACGAATAAAATATTAAATAAATATGTGAAGAAAAACGTTATGAAGAAACAACTTAAAATACAAGTAACTTTTATTTTTACAACATATTTACTGTTTGAATAAAAAATATGTTGAAAAAATAGGAAGGAGAAGGCCGGGAATCGGCTTTAAAGATAGAAAGTTTTATTAAGTTATGCTCTAATTTTACATAAAGTTAAAGCACAGCTTGCTTTACATACTCCATCCCGACAATGGTAGAAATAATTTATATACATGGCGGTCAACTGGTCAAAAACAAATAAAAGAAGAGTAGAATGTTGAAATTGATTATTCCAACACCCTCCCTCAATCTCTACATTCCCAACTCACGAATACATCTCTCATGAGAGACCTTTGTCAGACTCTTGGTTAAGATATCCGCAACATTCTCCTGGGTTGGTGTATGGACGACCTCGACAAGACCTTCATTGCCCCTTTCCATAGATGCGAATCTTCACTAGACAAGGCTTGATCTAAATCCTTTGGATCTGGCAAACTGGTGTTCTGTCTAAAATCCTTAGACAAATTAGCTTCAACGTATTCCTTTCGTGGTCTTCCCGGTTTTCCAGTACGTAAAATTCTTGGTCTTCCTCTTCCTCTCTGCGAGATGACTTCCTTTGTTTCTGATGGTTCGCTTAAAAACTCCGAATCAGTTCCGGGCAAAGTTTTTTTTATCATTCTGAAGACTTTCCTCCTCCAATGATGTATCATCCTTTTTCTGTGGTATAGCTTCAATTTGCACCACGTCATTCCTTAAGGTAGAATTTTCAGATTCAAGGAAACGTACATCTCGACTTTTTATCATCATGCCTGTTCCAGGCTTCCATAATCTGTACGCCTTTGATTCGGGAGAATAGCCAACCAGTCGGTATTCTTCACTACGAGGAGCGAATTTTCCTCTTCTCGGACGGTTGTCAACAGCGAAACATTTACATCCTATCATTCTTAAATGAGAAAGGTTGGTTTTCTTCCTGTAAATATTTCATACGGAGTTCGACTTTCATTTGTTCTTGGGCATCTGTTTCTGATGTATGTAGATGTATGCACAAGTTCAGCCCAAAGTGGATCTGGGAGGTTCGCTTGAATTATGAAACATCTAGTCATTTCTACCAGAGTTCTGTTCGCTCTTTCAGCAACTCCATTTTGTTGCGGAGAATATTCAACTGAGAGCTGATGTCTAATTCCTTCCTCCATTAAATATTCTTTAAAATCTGAACTCAAATAC